TATATATATATCATCTCCAAAGGGCAGCTATTGAAGAATTTCTTTATGGGAAAAGTTAGGGATTCAAGAATGAAAGAAATTCTTCTGCTCTGAATTTATCTCAAATTTATCTCTTGGATTTTGAGAAAATCCTTATTTTGGAAAAACCAGAAAAGAGGACCTCTTGAATTAGCATTGAAGCCTTTCAAGGAAATTTGCTCTCCAACTTCTGAAGGATTCAATAGCCAATAAAAGTCATCTAACCAAGAGGTAAAGAAAGTGAAATAAAGATTTAGGAATAGATGAGAAAAATTAAATCAAAATAGAATGAAATAAATTAATGAAAGTGGTAAGAAAGAATGAGTTCTAATTTGAGTATTACAACCATTATAAAAATGGTCAAATATCTGGGTGGTGGTAGGATGAGAGATATAAAAAACACTTTATTTTTGTACATTTGTATACTCTATTTTCCACAATAAAAACAATTACTTCAGTTTTAAAAGAATTCTTAAAAAGTTGTTGTTTATTCAGTAATGATTAAGGAGTTAATTAATCCCTCCTCCAATGACCCCACAGTAATTCTAATATTATTACAGCAATACATCATTATCTTAAATTTTCATTCTAATTCTATTAGACTGCAATTAGATAAAAGTCCTTTGCATTTGATATATATAGTAAGATCAAGATAAATAACCTAACTATAATATTTTAGAAATGTTTTTTAAAAAAATTTTTACAGATTTAAATCAATAGAAGATATCTTAAGGTATGACTATTCTCAATATATATGTCATTTAAATTTTAGAACACTTTAATACCAAACAGTTTAATCTCATGGATACTTTTGTGAAGGCATATTGCATTTATTTTAATGCAGGGAAACTTTAAACTCCTGCCATACCACTTTACATGATAATAGTAAACATATTATTTTAATTTTATAGCAGGTTAAGTTGGAAATATTGTATTGATTTAGTAATCTGTATCTACTTAAAGACAGGCAATAACATTGGCACAATGTTTTAGTGGCTTAAATCATTATTTTGAAAGCATTGTAAAAGCTCTCCTTCAAAAAAGGAAAAAAGTTAACATGCTAGACTTCAGAATTATTTTAAAAATTAATCTAATTTGTTTTCAGTTTTAAATTCACTGATATACACACATAGCATAACTTCATATACACACAGACACCCCTTATGGTAATGTACTTTCCAATGAACTATATTTGTATTTTATAAAGAATAAAAATCCTCCTTGGAAAAGTGAATTGTCTGCCTCTAATCTATGCTACTTGCAGTATGATCCTTCCTTTCAAATATAGAGAATAGACCCACTTGTATCTCAAGCTACCTCAAAATTTGTCATGAGATTTTTATTATTGTTGCTGTTGAAGCAAATCTACCACTTAAAAAAAGAACAAAGTATTTCTGTTTCTGTCCTGAAGATGGGATGTTTAAGAACTTTATAAAACACTCTGACATAAACTCAAAGTATTTTTACATAGAATATATATACACATTTACACAAAACAATAACACAGGAAGAATTGTAGAACATTATCTGAGTTCATAATTTAATTTCACATATTTACTAAAAAAAAGCTATATAGACACTTCTTAACATATTATGCTTAATTCATAAGCAGAACTTAACAACTCCAATTCTGCAGTAGTAAAAAGTAAGCAGTGGATACATAAAAGAAACTTTTCATTTTTAAACATATATTTACTATTAAATTATTACCATTTAACATTCTTTACCTGAACCTTCCAAATCTATATTTCTGTTTCTAAGATATAGAAAATGGAAATTTTTACTTTATTTTAGGTAGGAATTCTCATTGAGTAAATTTTAAAAACAGCACAACTTTGCGGAAAAAAAAAAAAAAGTTTTCCAAACCCCCCCCCGGCCACATGACTTTTATTGCATATTTCTCCCATATCCCCCATCTCATAAAGCCTTTTTAGGTTATATAATCAATAACCCCCAGTAATTATGAACTTTATGTTTCACTTACAAGATATCATTAAGTAGTCTTCAGAAGTGCTCTTGACATCATCATCATCATCATCATCATCATCTTCAGTTTTTATAGTAACTGTAGAACCAGGTACACCACCAGCTGCTTGAATCACAGTTTCTGTATCCGAATTAGTTACAAGAACCTCCTCTGATACCATGGTGGGAGAGTCAACTCCTGAAATACAATCTTGGACCACATGTTCTAAGTGTCCATCAGGACCGGTAACAAGGTCAGCTACAAAAACCTGCTCAGGTACCCTAACAGTTTCTGTAATCAGCTCAGAAGTCAAGATATGATCACCATCATCTTCCTCTAAATCTTCTTCAATGGCAACATCAGCTTCAAGTACAGCTTCAGGAACAATCACACCTTCTGTTACTACATCAGTCTCTGTGATGATATCAGGCCCATGGACAACTTCAGCTGCAAGGCCATGATCAAGAGTTATGCCATCATCTGTGACAACGTCAGAAACTAATACCGCTTCAGGAACTGAGACAACAATATGGTCTCCATCAATATGTGCAGTACCAGTCATTCCAGCCACTATAATACAAACAATTATTCAAAAAGAAGTAAAGTTATTTTATTAATGCAAAGTACTTTATTTAATCTAGCAAATAAAAATTTATTATTAAATAATTTTGGTCAAACATATTATTTTTTAAAAAATCACAATTTAACTGCCATAAAAACCCTCACTAACCAGAAGCTAGGTGGAGGCGGGTGCAAACAATATTAGTAAAATCTAAATTAAACCTAAAAATTATGTTAAATAACATACTTTTTTTTCAAGTAAGCCATAAAAGCCACAATGAGGTATCACTACACATCAATTAGAACAACAAAAATAAAAACCTATGACAACCCAACAGGCTGGTGAAGCTGCAGAGAAAATGTACCTCTCATACACTGCTGCTGGGAAAATAAAACGGTAGCAGCCATTTTGCAGAACAGATTGGCAACTTCTTACAAAAATAAGCATGCACTTACCATAAAATCTAATGATCACACTCAGGCATATTTCCCAGAGAAATTAGAACATATTTTTTACACACACACACAAAAAAAAACCTGTACAATAATATTCATAGCAGCTTACAATAGAAATTACTTTTAATAGTAAAAAATTGGAAAAAACTCCATGCCATTCAACATGGTTCCAAACTCCAGTATATCCTACCTGCAGAATATTTACTACTCAGAAGTAATAAAGAGCAAACTATTGATATATGCAACAACCTGGATGAATCTCCACATAATTATGTTGAGTGAAAAAAGCCATTCACTAAAGTATAAATGGAATCTTTATATGTTATTGTTGTTGTTAGGTACCTATGTACAACAGAGCAAAATATTGTCTGGTCCTGCTTCATCCTCATAATTACTACTATGTTTGAGCTCATAATCACAGCTACTGTGTCAATCCATCTCACTGAGGTTCTTCCTTTTTTTCTTTGACAGTCTACCAAGCATGATGTCATTCTCCAGGGACTGGTCCCTCCTGATAACATGTCCCAAGTAGGTGAGACAAAGTCTCACCATCCTCACTTCTTAGTGAGGAGCATTCTGGCTGCACTTCTTCCAAGACAGATTTGTCCATTCTTTTGGCAGTCCATGCTATATTCAGTATTTCTCACCAACATCGTGATTCAAATGTATCAATTCTTCTTTGGTCTTCCTTATTCATTGTCCAGCTTTCATATGCATATGAGGCAATGGAAAATACCATGGTTTAGGTCATATGTACCTTAGTTCTCAAATAAAGATTTCTTTTACAGTAGATTGGCCCAATGCAATACATCATTTGATTTCTTGACTGCTGCTTCCATGGGTATTGAATGTGGATGCAAATAAAATAAAATCCTTGACAAGTTTTTTTCTCCATTTTTCATGATGTTGCTTACTGGTCCAGTTGCAAGGATTTTTGTTTTCTTTACGTTGAGGTGCAACTCATACTGAAGGCTGTCATCTTTGATCTTCCTCAGTAACTTCTTCAAGTCTTCTTCACTTTCAATAATCAAGGTTGTGTCATCTGCATAGCACAGGTTGTTAATGAGTCTCCCTCCAATCATGATCCCATGTTTTTCTTCATACACTCCAGTTTCTCAGATTTGCTCAGCATACACATTGAATAAGAATAGTGAAAGGATATAACCCTGATTGCACACCTTTCCTGATATTAAACCACATATTATCCCCTTGTTCTGCCTGAACGAGTGCCTCTTGATCTATGTTCAGGTTCCTCATGAGAACAATTAAGTGCTCTGGAATTCCCATTCTTTTCAGTGTTATCCATAATTTGTTAGGAACCACACAATTAACGCCTTTGCATAGTCAATAAGACACAGATAAACATCTTTCTGGCATTCTCTGCTGTCAGCTGAGATCCAACTGACATCAGCAATGGTATCCCATTCAAAATCCTCTTCTGATTCCAGCTTAAATGCTGGCAGTTCCCTGGCAATATACTGCTGCAACTATTTTTGAATGATTTTCTGCAAAATTTTACTTGCATATGATATTGAGGATATTGTTCATTCATTTCCACATTCTGTGGTATCACCTTTCTTTGGAACAGGCAAAGATATTGATTTCTTCTAGTCAATGGGCCAGTTAGCTGTCTTCCAAATTACATGGCATAAAAAACTGGGCACCTCCAGTGCTGCGTACATTTGTTGAAACATCTCAATGGGTATTCCATTAATTCCTGGAGCCTTGTTTTTTGGCCAATTCTTTCAGTGTTGGCTTGACTTCTCCCTTCAAAACCACTGTTTCTTGACCAAATGTTGTTGTTGTTGTGCACCGTTGAGTCAGATCCGAGTCACAGTGACCCCTCCTTGGGTTTCCGAGGCAGTATCACTATGGAAGTAGATTGCCCAATCTTCCTTC